AAGACACCTCAGCTCTCAATATGGAGCCAAAAAAAGAATGGAAATTTACAGCTGAGGACCAGTGTCAGTCACTTCCTGGAAAATAAATGAGAACAAAAGAAGGGTGGGATTCTGACTGTGCTGGCTAGTTTTATGTCAACTTGAAACAAGCTAAAGTCATTTCAGAGGGGGGAGCCTCGACTGAGAAAATGCCTTAAGACCCAGCTGTAGGCCAACTGGTCTACCTCATTTATGAACTGCGGGAGCTTATGAAGGGGAATCTGAAGCTACAGAGGAAGGTTAAGGCTAATAAGATACAAAGGCAGGGAGAAATGAGTAGAATTGGGGGTGTATGATGTGAAACTCACCAAGAATCAAAAAGTTTAGAAAAAAAAGGTAGGCAAGCCTATAGGACATGTTCTTAATTAGTGATGGGGGGGGCACCCAGGCCATTTTGGGTGGTGCCATCCCTAAGAAGGTGCTCCTAAATTCTGTAAGAAAGCAGGCTGAGCAAGCCTTAAGAAGCAAGCCAGTAGGCAGCACTCTTTCATGGCCTCTGCACCAGCTCCTGCCTCCAGGTTCCTGCCCAGCTTGAGTTCTTGCCCTAATCTCCTTTGATGATGAACAGTGATATGGAAGTGTAAGCCAAATAGACCCTTTCCTCCCTAAGTTGCTTTTTGGTCATGGTGTTTCATGGTAACAACAAAAACCCTAACTCAGATACTGCCCAAACCAGCTTGGAAGAAGTCTGGGTGTTTTTGTTTGTTGCTGTAGCTGCTGCTGCTGCTGCTGCTGCTGCTGCTGCTGCTGCTGCTGCTGCTGCTGCTGTTTTGCTTGTTGTTTTGAGACAGAGTCTCAGCCCAGGCTGGCCACAAACTTAGTTGAAGATGACTTTTTTGAAAATGACTTTGAACTTGTGATCCTCCTGCATCTAGTTCCCAAGTATTGGATACAGACCTGTCTTTATTGAACAGTTTTCAATAAACACAACTATTACGTCAACTTTGGAATTCTGGTATCCATAGTTGTTTTAACAACAACAACCAAAAAAAAAAAAAAAAAGATTCACCATGGCATAGCCTGTCTTTTTTATTAGTCTACTGATTCCCAATAGGTGGCGCTCTACTCCATGCAAACGCTCTGAGTCAGCGGCTGATCTGCCCTGACCAGTCAGACAAAGGAATAAGGCCACAGGTTTCATGTAAAATACCTCTGGTTATTTAACACAAAAATCTTTGAGGTCACACCGTAAGCTATGAACCAAAGTGTAATTTCTCACTGGGGTTTCTAGTTTGAAGTTCAGTGCTACCTTTGGTTATATTCATGCCATCCTAAGATCTGCTCCTATCAAAACAAATGCCTACTTGTCATTAAAAAAAAAAAAAAAAGGCGGGGTGGTGTATGTCTCCTCCTCTTTTGTTATAAACAGTGGCCCTGCCTTCCCCCTGTTGTAGAAGAGTGTTGCTAGTACCGCATGGAATGCCCTCGCTACACATTCTCAAGGAAGATTCACGCCAAGCTTTCTTCAATCTCTAAAACTGGAAATGTTTGTGAAAGATACAGTACTTTTTCCTGGGAGGCAGTTGCAGGAGGATGGTGAGCAGAGGTCAGTTTGTGTTGCACAGTGAAACACTGTCTGGGAAACAAAAACAAATGGAACTTTCGCCCAAGCAGTAGGAGGACTTTCTAAGATGTGCTGGCTGCTTCTGGGCAGCTCATCTGTAACAGCAACAGGGTCCAGTGCTCACCTGGGCAGGAAAGGGCAGCAACGGAGAAAAGAACAGTTCACTGGCATACACCCACGCATGCGCGTGTGCACACACAATACTGTATGTTGTATACAAATATTTTAATGCCTTCTCCCTTCAATCATCCATGCTAATGTGTGCGTATTAACACCTTTTTAGGTAATGGTTCATCAGTACCTGGAACTGTTAAGACAGCTTTAATCACACTCTCCTTATTTCACATCCCTATGGTACTCCAAATTACACTTGGAAAAGCCCACTCTACACTCTGAAATACCTAGAAACGTGTTTCAAAAGCATCAGAGTCATACTAAGGTACTCAAAAATCACACAGCAACTCTATACCATCAACATATAGAGTAACCATTAGTCCTCTGACTGAAATGCTCATAAAAAACGATCACAGCCCCCCGGGTGCCAAGGCTGTTATTAGAAGTAAGCTGCCACATTCAAACCCGATGGCAAATAACTGCCATCTCACAAAACTTGAGCCCCAAATGATTTTTCAAAATTAAATTAGACATTTCTACCTTGATTTCTACCTGGAAAGAATGGCTCAGCAGTTAAGTCTGTTTTTCCAGAGGACCCAAGTTTGATTCCTAAAACCCACCTCAGGTGGCTCACCACTGTCTGTAACCCCAGCGCCGAGGATCTGAGAACTTCCTCTGGGTTCCACGAAACACCTGCACACACGCACACAGGCACACACACACTCACAAATGTATGCACACACAGTTTAAGGACAAAAATACATCTTTGGGTTTTTTTTTTAAGACAATAAATACATAGAAAGCACAGCATGGAATGCTGTGCCACTGCATTAAGAATCGAGAGTGTGGAGGTGAGACGAAGCAGGTGATGCTGAGAATATCAGGAGGCTTTTGTGTAAAGTGTCACTTGAGCCTGCAGAAGCTAACTGGAGAAAATGCAGATGGAAGTCCTAGTCCTGCAGAGAGTCAGGGGTGGTGTTAATAAAGTATTGAGTTTTTAAAACAACAACAAATGTATGTATAAAAGAACGATGAGTCATGTGGCAAAGCTGACCATTAATAAAGGAGGAGAGGGAAGGAAAAGTGGACTTAATGTCAGAGGAGAAGTTAACGCATCTCAATCTCCACGCTTGATAGTGTGGACTTCCTTAATTCAGTGTTGAACTGCCACAGCTATACAAATTGAGAGGTTCTTCAGTCAGACAACCTGTGCGTGCAGCAACAAAGGGAGAGGGGCCAGGTGAGGGCCATTGGCTTCCTATAGAAAAAGAGCTTGGGGCCTGGCTCTGTGATACAGAAGTCGCCAGCTGTGAACCCCAGAGTCATCCCCCATCCCTAAAAAATAAAGCTGGTATGTGGCAAGCTGTGATATAGTATTTCATGTAATTCTAGCAATATGCAATGTGTTATTTAATCCGAACAGTTTAGGCACAAAACATTTTCATAGATAAGCAGATGCTGCAATTCAACAATAGCTTGGCTCCAACGTTCACAAAAGTTGATTGATGGAAAATTACTCAGGTTTTAGAAATGGAGAAGCCAAAGAGCTGGGGGGGGGTGTGTGAAAAGTTCTATGGTCCAAGTAAGAACATATGTAGCAAAATGATTCAGAACCTTTAAGTTATATGAAGAAAAGCCGGATCCAAAGAAAATGTGAACACAAGGAAGACAAGGCATCATAAAAACCAGTGATAAATTAGACTAACAAGGAGAGGAGGAACAAGAAACAGAAAGTGGAAAGCCTGAATATTTAAAAGACTGCTAACAGGGGCCTAGATCTCAGCAATGAGGCAATTTAAATGTGATTAGATTCCACCTCAGCTCTCAGGACAGAGGACTCAGGATGTAGCCGTCCAGAATGAAGATGGCACATGGAAACTGTTATGAGTGGGCATGACTCGGAGGAAAATCATGAATCAAAACTAAGTCTAAGGAGCTGGGATAACAGCAGATCTCAAACAGAAAAGACCCCAGTCCCGTGCAATTCCTGGGGCACCCAAGAAGCAAGGGAGCCAGTGATGAGGCAGCCTTACCTGCAAGCCAGAAACCCTGGACTGCTGAGAGCAGGCTTTGCTGCCTCTGCTATATCATTCCCCAATCACTGTTTCACGTCAGGGCTATGATGTCAGGTCCTGATTTGACTGTTTTACCTCAGTGCTGTGATGCTAGAGTACCGATTTGATGGTCTCTGCCACTACGTCCTCCCCCAGAGGAGGCAGAGTACAGGCACAGGTAGGAGACCACTACGGACTGTGACAAGTACAACTACCTCACAAACAGGGTTCAATGAAGAAATCCTAGAACGATTTTCATTACGAGAGCAGAAAAATGTAACTTACTACGACTGAAGGAGAAGAGAAGACATAATTCTAAAAATTGTTTCCTAAGGCTGAATTTATTCTATTTTCATCAATTTTTATAAGGCTCAGAGTTACATGTCATTTTAATTCATCTAAAATTATGGTCACTCTCAATGAAAGTTTTACGGAAAGCCATAGTATTAGAATGTGATGAAGAACACGCTTCTTTCTTTACACATGCATACCCATGCATTACCAAGGTCAAGCAGACTAGTTCTAATACAAGCTACCACTGGGCAACAACACGAGGGGAAGGTGAGAAGGGGTGCAAAGAGATCAAATATATAGTTCATGTAACTTCCTACCTCAGGATGGAATGGAAAATTACAGCTGGCTTTGTTCCATTTCCCCAACTTTTGTGTATTTAAAGCTGTCAGTCTCCTAAATCACACTTTCATTCCCTGCTTGTTCAAGTTTGACTTTCTATTTCTACTTAATGCATCCAGGTTTTTATTCTATGGAACTAAGTCAGTGAATCTAAAAAAAAAAAAAAATCCCTAATGTTGCATATAGATCTATTTGTTTGGATAAATAAGAAAAAAATGCTACATTTTAATACAAATAACTCCTACATCATAGTAGCAGCCTGAAACTGAAAGAACAACTTAGGAAGGACTCTGCTATAGGCACTGGCTTTGGAAATTTGGCTTACAAATAATATATTAGGACAGGCTTACTTTTTATACCTACCATTAACTAATGAGATAAGTAAAAATTCCAAATCATAATTGAGTTGGTTGAATTAATAGGCTTATTATTAAAACAATGCTAGAGATTCACTATTCTTCCAGCACTTGCTTTAAAAAGTAGATAACAACTGAATGATAACAGGTGTATTTTGTGAAAGGAAAAAACAAAATCACAGTGATTTCAATGGTAGCAAAAGAAAGTGGGGCCCTGGTATGGTAGCCACTGCAGCATACCTGCCGTGAACAGTAGCAGATTTGACAATATCTCCAGGCAGGACGACCAAGAGTTCAATGTCTTTATCTAGCATGTTTTCATTTTGCTCGGTGATGACGGCAGTAGATTCTGCAGGGTCCTCAGCAGAAGAGACATCCATGCCCTTCATCTCGGCAGGAGGAAGTGGTGCCTTCGCTTTTGTTTTCCTCCTAGAAGAAAGAGATTATTCAGAAAATAAATACCATAGAAAGTGCTTTCCAGTGTTTCCTAATTACACACGTGCACACAGACAACAACAAAACCCTAAGCTTAGATTATTTTCACATCCAGGAAAATTACAAATTTATTAACTAAAAGATATGAAATATAAATGGCCTATCAATATATAAAAAAATGTTCATTACTAGATATCAGGGAAACAATCTAAAAGAACACTGAGATCCAATCTCATCTTATTCAGAATGATGGACATTAAGAAAAAAAAAATAACAAGAAATGCTGTCAAAATCTACAGAAAAGGGGCCCTTCCAAACAGTACATACTGCAAAGTAGTCAAACCCCCTTGGAAATCTATGTGAAGGTTCTGGGGAAAAAACACAACCAATAAGCGATATGCCAATTCCCGTCACTCACTCAAAAGGGCTCTGAAGTCAACATATCATAGAGATTCTTGTTCAAGAACGTTTGCCGCACCATGATTCACAACAGCCACACTGTGGAATCACCTCAGGGGTCCATCCTCAGAAAACAGGTATATGCACATACCACGGCATTAGATCCCACTCTAGGATGGAATTACCTCACTTGTAATAAAACTGATGCAACTGAAAATTATAGTAATATGTGAATTTTGATTCAGAAAGACAAATAATACACATTTTCACCCATTTATGCACCCTAGATTTTATATAGATACACAAAATCATTTCTGTGTGTATGACCTAAAAGTAGAAACAAAAACCTGTCTGAGCTATCTAAGTATAATGAACATACACTTAAGAAAAAAGAGAGATGGTAAAAAAAATCTATATTGGCCTTCATCCAGCTCAGTAAATGTGTTCAGACTAAGAATGTCATTTCTCTTCTTTGATGAGATAACTTATTAGGGTCTCAGGATGGACTGCAGTACTCCATACCTCACAATGGCTCCTCTGAGTCTTTCATTCTTTCTTTCCAGACTAGTGTGCCCTACTTCTCTATCCAGATAAACCTTATCTATCCTTTACAGTCTAGCTAACTTTATACCCTTTGGTCCCAAACATGCACACAGAACTTCTTTCTTCTTTGAATTGATGCAACTTTTGCAACTGAATCTCTCAACTTAGCATTCTTTTCTTGCTTTTACCTAATCACCAGATCACCACTCGGAAGTTATAATGCCAGAGAAGAAGAAAGCTATAAGTGGCTGTCTTTTGTACTGCTGCTAGCATTGAATAATGAACTCTCTCACTGTCTGTAAGACACACATCTGGGCATGACTGTTCCCAGTGGGCACTTTTGGGCTAGTTTAACTGAGGCAGGAATGATCCACCCTGAATGTAGGCACCACTTTCCGGAAGGCTGGGGCATTCACTAGCATTCACTACTGCCTTAGAATCCTCGTGTCATGACTTCCTCACCATGACAGAAGACACTGGCAAATTGGGAGCCAAAATACTTTCTTCTTAGCCTTTGTCAGACCCTTTGTTGTAATGAAAAACAACAACAACAAAACACACACACAAAACAAACAAAGCAAAACAAACAAACAAAAGCACTAACTTTCCTAACCCTGTGGTTTGCAGATCTGTAAAGCTGCTCTGTAGAAGGAATATGGAAGGCGTTGGAGCTACAGGGCTAGAGAACCCAAAAATGCTATGAGCAGAACTGAACGGGCCATTCAAAACTTCAGAAGACCAGAATGCTTTCAGAAATACAGGCAGTAAAAGTCAGGCTCTCAAGACGGTTCTGAGATGAACAGGACTCTGTCAGGAACTGGGTTAGAGGCCATTCATGTTATGTTCTGGCAATGAGTCTGACTGCATTCTAAAAACTTGAGTAAGGCTGAAAGCAATGGATTGAGTTATTCAGCAGAACAAATTTCAAGGCAAAAACATTCAGACTGTGGCCTAGTATTTGCTCACTCTATTTATTGAGGTTTATGTGAGATACATAGCAGAAATTTGAAAGTGTGCAATTTAGCAAGGAAAGGAAATTGAGTATGGTGAAAAATGCAGACAAGATTGAAGCACTTAAAATAGCAGTAACGAGATTAATTAGTGCCATTAAAGAGAAATCTAGTGCTCTTCACTGGGTAACTGGAAAGATGTCCTGAGGACAAGACCCCATCAGTGAAAGGCACCAACTATTAGAAATAAAAAATAAAATAAAATCTCTCAAAGAAAAGAGAGCGCCTGAACTGAAAATGCCATTGACAGCCTCCCCTATGGACGCCCTGCTTATAAACAATTACTCAGGAAAAGTTACTTTCCTAGGTTAGACTTCCACAGAATGCAAAGGCCAGTGTAGCTATAGAAGCAGAGTCCAGAGTCCATTTTGAGTGGGCAGCTTCTGGGACATTCTACGAACATCATGCATGAGGAGCTGATTTTATAAGCCACTAAGGCCAAGCAAAGTTAGGCTGCCTGCTTTGAAATTCTGCTGTATGAAACTGGGAAGAACATATCTAAGCTGCAGTGAATAGCTCAGGATGGTGGAAATGTCAGTACCATTGAATGTTCATTAAGGAGAGCTGCAAGCATGGAGTGGAACCAGTCTTAGTTCGAAGCTATGGATGCTGTCAATGGCAGAACTGAAGGACTTGGTCTAGCCAAGTCTCCTGGAGTGCCACCATCACAAGCCCCATATCTGGACATGAAGCAGGGGATTTGATGTTTTCCCTCCTTGGCTTCCTGATGCTTTTGTACAACCTTCCCTTTCCTTGTTGCTATTCTTTATCTTGGAATGTGTATTTTGCATTGTCCCATTGTATATTGGAAGAAATTTTATAAGGTCTTACAGTTAACAATTTACCTTGAGTCTCATAAGGTACATTGGACTTTTGAACAGTGCTAGAACTGTTAATATTTTGGAATTCTTAGAGATGAATCAAATGCCTTTTGTGCTATAAGATGGCCATGAGGCTTTGAGGATCGTTAAGTGTGGATTTATGACTTAAAAACTATTTGATTGTCAGGCTCACAAGTGGTAGTCTTGTAATTGGCTATTTATTCACAATTACCACAGATTTAAAATCACCTAGGAGAGATCACTTCTTGGTGTTTGGAGAAAAATACGATCAAGTATAGAATCACCTAAGAAGTAGGCCTATGGATAAGCTTGTAAAAACGTACCTGGAAAGGTTTAACTGAGGGAGGAAGACCCACCTTTATACAGTGGTGCCATCTTAATGGCTGAGAGCTTAAACCAAATCCAAGAAAGAAAGCACAATTATGCGCCTCTCCTTACTGACCAAAGGTACCACCAGCCCATCCCTTACCATGATGGGCTGACTGACTATACTTACTTTCAAAAGTTGCTTTTGCTAGGTATTTTGTCATGACAGGAAGAGCAACAAATACCATTATTTCATAAATTATATACTGACTGCAATAAAAATTTCACAAATAATTATACTAATAAATACTTTCACTGTCAAGAGGAAAGGAGCCCACATGGAAATAGAAATAATGGACATCCCGAAAACAATTCTTACACACAATTAAATGCAATGCTGGTCTTTAAAAAATGAAATGTGAAAAAAACACAACTATAACTAATGATATGTATTAGTTAATCCTTAAAAAATAATTTTAAAAGTTTGACAATGTTACCTCAAAAAATAATAATTGTAGGTGCAGAGAAATAGCTCAGAGATTAAGAGCACTGGCTGCTCTTCCAGAGGACCCAGGACTGATTCCCAGCATCCACATGGTAGCTTACAACCATCTGTTACTCTAGTTCCTGATCTGATACCCTCCTATGGTGTGTATGAGCAGAAGGCATACATGAAGTACACAAACATGCCCATAGTGAGACACTTTTGCACATGATTAAAAAAAAAAAAACTAATTGCTTTGGAAGAATTCTATTCATTTCCTTCCACTAAAGATATAAATTTTAATTCTGCATTTTCTGAAAAAATATAAAAAGCACACAAGATAAATACATTCCCCTACTCAGTATTTTTTAAATTCACACCTTATAAACCCAAGCATCTTTGAGCACTACAATAAAAAGGCAGAAGTAGTTCTTTGTGTACCAGGTTGTTAAAATAACTAGTCTTTAATTTTTAGTCAATTAATCAGATTTGTATCTAGGAAAGGCTTCTTTCATAATTTGCAACAAAAATAAAATGTTTAATCTGTAGAAACTGACTATTCATGTATCACAAGCATTTATCCTGTAATAGATAATTTCTGTACCGGATTCAAGTGAGCACAAGAAACTTGAAGATGAATGATTCAAATGTGACTTTCGAAAGCATGGACCACAGGCCGACAGACATACAAAAGTAGCATGAAGTCTGATGATGGGTCGAAGCTAGCTGTGTAAAATACTGCTGTCATGACTAGAGAATCTTACTCTCCTAGGAAGCAATAACTTTTAAATATGAAAAATATTAATGCACTGGATTTAGGTAAAGAAATTTAAATGTATGTGAAATGACTAGAAACAACTTACATTTCTGGCAGAGAAAGAGCAAATGAAGCCATAAAGGAATGTGGTACTTCTTAGAATTGAACGCTATGATAAAACTCTACAGAGAAGAGGAGATAAAAAGTCAGTGAATCAGCTGAAAACGTAAGAGGATTCAGTAAAGTGGCTTAGTATGAAGGTAATATGCTTAGGTCAATAGCCTACGCAAAAACTAATCAGACAGCACAGTGATCGGAAAATTCCTTTTAAAATAACAGAAAAAAATGAATTTAAAAGACTCCAAGTTTCCCTACTTTTGTGAATCACATTTCCTTCTGTTCTCTGGAACTCAAAATCCCCTTTCTTAATAATGTCAGTCCAATCCTTAAAGCCCCTGTGCACTGTATTATGAACAGATCAGAGCTCACCACAACCAGCCCCATGGGTTGCTTTCCTGGTATCCACTTTGACTACTCCCTTCAGCTTCTGCATCTTCATCTAGCTACAACCCTTCCAAGTCCAGAGAAGGAAAGCTTCCCGCAATCTCTAGCCTGTTTACTAGTCTCACAAAGTGTCACGCTTGACACAGTGG